TATATATATATATATATATTAGTGCTGTCAAATGATTAATCGCATCCAAAATAAAAGTTTTTGTTTATATAATATATGTATGTGTAGTGTATATTTATTATGCATATATAAATACACACACATACAATAAATATTGTGAAAACATTTACATGTATATATTCTTATATATATTATTTATTTAATATATGAACAACATATTTTTCTTAAATATATACATGCATGTGTTTGTATTTATATAATATTAATAATAATAATATTAAAATCTTTATTTTTTTAGTAAAACAAGCAAAATGTAATTTGTTGTGTCAAATGCCATAGCTATGCATAACTACACACTAGACAAATTCAGCCAAGGTGAATACATATAATAATGAATGCATACATTAATGAAACAATTATGTTTTATTTACTGACAACAACAGGAAACATGAATAAATGAGTAAAATAATAAATCAAAGTAATGGCAATAAATAAATACAAGTCAACAACACATGAAACAAAGCTTTATTCAAACATTGTTCTAACAATGATGTATTTACAGGTGGTGAAGCCACTTCTACTGCATCTCAACACAGCTGAGACAGTTCTGCAGCTTTATTCTGATGAAGCAGCTGACGATCGTGTCCACCTTCACCTGTCTCTGCCGTCCATCACGTCCCTCATTGCTGCAGTCAGACTGAATCTGATCATGGATGGGAAAGGGACATCGAGGCTGTCTTTGTCTGAGTGCATGGAGAGGATGAGGAAGACCATGATAAAGACCCCTGAACCACACAACCTTGAGCAAGAGCAGGAGAACATGTGCGGGACAATCTGACTGCTGCTGTGTCTGCTCCAAACATTCGTGTGCTGCTCTCCATGAGCATGACTACCCTTTACCGCGGGAAGTAGGGGAGCTGCAGCATCCCCTGGCGCGTAGCCAAAGAAAAAATGGGGGGGCTGGGGGTGCGGTGTTAAAAATAAATAAATTAAAATTGTGTAACACAAAATAAATAAAATACATTTTATTAATTTTTATATTCATTAAAATTCATAGAAAAAAAGTAGCCTAAGCCTACAATGACAATAAGAAACAGTAAAACATTAATTAAGTTGAATCAAATTGATTGTGAAAGTCGTTTCAACTTATACTGACTTAGGAAGTCGTTTGTTGCCATGACTTTTTGATCAAATTATTATTATACCTGTATCATGTCTGTGCCGTACCCAAAACAAAGAATTAACGACCATTTCTACAGCCATTGCAAAGATACAGACGAGAAAGATCGAGAGCATCTATTTACTGTACCTCAGCAGCAACCAATCTTGCATTCTCGCATCTGCAGCGCTTATTTTGATCTTTAATGTTAGATCTTTCCTATTCTTGGAACAAAATTAATGCTTAAGGTTGATTCAGTATTACTCATAATGGAAAAAAATCCCACACACAACATCAGCAATACTACAATGACAAAGTCGTTTATATTTAACATAAAACTTGTATTAACAGAACGAATTATGTATTATAATAACGAATTACATGCCCGCATTGTAACAAATAAATAAAAGGTTTTTGGATTTTCCCCTTACTTCAAACGAATGCTTTGTGGCTCATCATTATTATTATTAATAATAATAAAAAAGGCTATACAATAAAACAGTACGATGACAAATTCACTTATATTAAACTTTGAAATTGTATTAACAATATGAATAAGGAAAATATGTTTTACCCGCATTGTAACACAAATAGGGATGCACGATATATCGGCCACCATATCGGTATCGGCCCATATCGGCTCATTTTTTCTGTTATCGGTATCGGCCTGATAAGAAAATTTGGCCGATATCTTAAAGCCGATAAATAATGCATTAATAAATAAACGGTCTTTGGATTTCCCCTTTTCTTTGAAACGATCGTAGGTTGTGGTTCATTATTAGCCAATTAATTACAACACATCAGCCATAAAAGAATAGGCCTACAATAGCAAATTTGCATAGGCCTATATGAAACATCTACATTTTATTAACAAAATGAATAAGACGGATAGGCTATAGCCTACTTGCGTTGTAACCCAAATAAATAAGGTATTTTCCCTCTTTTAAAACAAATGCTTAGTTTGTGGTTCATTGTTTTATTAATTTTTTTAATCAGAATCAGAATGAGCTTTATTGCCAGGTATGTTTACACATACGAGGAATTTGTTTTCGTGACAGAAGCTTCCACAGTGTAACAGAATGACAGTGACAGAACAAAAAACACAGATAATAAAAATAAAAATAGAACAAGTAAATAAGGAATAAAAATAAATAAATTGACAATTGTGTGTGCAGGTATATTACAAGGTATATATATATTTTTTTTTTTATGTACAGGTACTGTATATTATGTGCAAATTTGAGGTGTAGGCTGAGTATGAGTGTTAGATAAATAAGTGTATGAGTGAATAAATAGTGTGTGTTCCATGGTTAACATGTGATGTGCTGTCTGTATTTTGGCAGTTCACGGGAGAGATTGGCTTTATTAAAGTCCCCGAGAATGATTAAAACAGAGTCCGGGTGTTGTTGTTCTGTGTCTGTGATCAGATCAGCGAGTTTCTGTAAAGCGGAGCTCACGTGTGCTTGCGGAGGAATGTAAATACTCACGAGAATGAACGAGCAAAACTCCCGCGGCGAATAGAACGGCTTGCAATTAATGAAGAGCACTTCTAGATCTTTACAGCACATCTTCTTTAATGAAAACACAGTTTGAAGATTCGCTAGCATAAGTGTTTTTGTATTTTATATCATTATAAGAACGGATTGGAACAATATATTATTGTTTTATGTGAAGGTGCTTTGTCAATGGTAGCACTCGCTAACTTGCTCAAGGACTCCTCTCCGTGCCAATCACATTCACAACAGGCTTGGCCAGCTGACCAATCAGAGCAGAGTAGGCTTATGGAAGGGAGGGGTTTGCACCGAACTTGCTTGGAACGAATCATTTCGAAATCATTGGCAAATGACTCTAATATTAAATGCATATTCTGAGAAAATTACAATGTTTTCTGTCCTTAGATGCATTTAAACCTGTTGTAGGGGACTCCGACACAATATTAGAACACTTTAAAATACCATATGACCTGCTCTTTATATAGGTCCAGTACTTTTTTTACAGTCTGCGGTCCAGCGTTCATCGGGTTGTGCGTCAGTAATAATGGTCCGGGGAAACACGGTGTTCCGTGTGTAGCTACAGTAAATAGACTAAACGCAGCCTCGAGGCAGATGATTTTTTTTGTATTGGAGTTACTGGAGGTATTTGAGGAATCGTTTCAGCCCTACTTCCGAAGTGTGATTCGAAGCACCCATGTCACGTGACTACGTTTCACAAGTGTTTCGAGACGGGCATACCTGCCAAATCTGCGTTTGATTGACAGGGTCAGGAAACCACACAATCGCACATCTGTCTCAACCTAACTCTCATAAAGTATAAAAGTGGAGTTAACGCAGCAGAACAATTAATATTTTTAA